ACTAGTCTAGCAGAAGAGTATTATTTTTGTAGTATAGCAGAGGAGGGTGTTTTGTATTTATATTTGTAATCTTATAGAGTGATCAACAGGTGGCGCAATAACATAGGCTGTAATCTAAAGGATTTTTACACCATTGTGCAAGTTTGGAGAGGAATTTTCCCTGTGGCTCTTACAATGTCTTATACTGGAATCTTACTACATATGGATTTACTTTTATTATTTCCACTTCTCTCCAGTTGCACCCTGATAAAAGTAAAAAAAGGTAAATGAAACCAGCTGCCCACGTGAAAACAACAAAAGAACACAAATTTCCTTGCATTTAAGCTATTTCAGAATAGGCATAAATACCACAAGTATTGAGGTCTACCTGTGTCCCCATAGACCTTGATGTCGGTTTACAGGACTTGTCATCGGGCCTGGTTCAGCACCCTCCGGGGTGGGGGAGGACAGAGGTTGCAGCCCTCAGGGAGGAGTTGAGGGGGTTAGGTAAGTGCTCCTGGGGGTGGAAGAGGATTGCTGGGGTGTGGGGGTGTGATAGTGTAGGATTTCATCTCAGGAGGTAGGGAGGATGATGGGTGGGAGGGGGTTTGCAGGCCCCCGGGGAGTGGGGGTTGTTGGGGGATATTGGTACCTGCTTCCCTGGGGGTGGGAAATTTGGTATTTGCCCCCCTGGGGAGTGGGGAATTTGGTATTTACTCCCTTGGGGGTGGGGAATTTGGTATTTACTCCCCTGGGGAGTGGGGAATATTGGTATTTGCTCCCCTGGGGGTGGGGAATTTGGTATTTACTCCCCTGGGGAGTGGGGAATATTGGTATTTGCTCCCCTGGGGGTGGGGACTGGTACCTGCTCCCCTGGGGAGTGGGGAATATTGGTATTTGCCCCCCCCCCCCGGGGATGGGGCCCTGTACCTGCTCCCCTGGGGGTGGGGGTAGCTTCGAGCGGAAGGTTGGGCGGAGACACACACACACACACACAGAGAGAGAGAGAGGCTGGGCCGGGGAGCTACAGCTACAGACTGATACAGAAACAGCTAGCTCCCCCAGCCCAGGGGTGTGTGTGTCTGCAGCGGGGGGTTTCCTCCGGATTCTGTAACAAATTCCCGCAATGATACAGTAACAGCTGGAACACCGTGGGAACCAGCTCCGCTGCAGGGTTAGTTACAGAGCCCTTTTGCAAAAGTAAGTGGTTTATTCCCGTCCCTTTACCAGGCCGTTTGTGGAAAAATGGAAGAGAAAGTAAACGCATGAACAAGGCGGTGCTTCTGTCTCTCTATCGCGACACTGAGTTTAGCGGAAATTGACAAATGCTTGTGATTTTTTTTAGAAGCTGTTCGGGAGCTTGTTTAATGTTGGGATTTTTAAGTTAGTGTTACGGTGAGGGTTTAGTCTTTCTCATTTTAACCGGACTTTGTGAAATTTTGTTTCTCGCAGTCTAAAATGTTACTCCAGTATTATTTCCAAAACCAAGATACCAGTGAACAAAATATTTTAAAATCTGCAATTTGCAGAACGCGAAAATTAGTTTTGTTTTAAGTAGCAGACTCATCAAGATTATAGACTTTAAACGAACACTCCAGTAGAGTACGGCATGAGATCCACAAATCTCCTCCGGAAATACGTAGAGTGCTTAAGGAATATATGAGGATTTGGCCTCATGTGGCGCCGTGGTAGTGTCTCTACCCCTGGACTGGGAGGCCCAGGTTCAAGCCCCACCTGCTCCAAAACTGTTAGTAATATCTCTGAACAAGCTGGTTTGAAAAAGTATGTTACCCCCGCCCCATGTTTTGATGCTCATGTTTCACACAGGACACTGCAGAAAGCGATTGGAATATTATTTTAAAAACAGAAAGCTGCAACACAGAGACTTGAGGGGGACTTGTGTATGAAACACAGGAGCTGCAGGTAATCAGGAAGGCTAATGGAATGTTGGCCCTGATTTCAAAGAGGGGTTGGAGTATAAGAGTAGGGAAATCTTACTGCAACTGTACAAGGTGCTGGTGAGACCACATCTGAATTGCATTAGCTTTATTGTCACATGTACTCACATGAGTACAACGAAAAGTTTACAGACGCTGCAATATAGCCCATCTAAGGCACAAAGGTACCTAGGTACAGATACTAAAAATCCAATTCTTACAAATCAAAAAAAACCTGATAAAAGTAAAAAAAATAAATAGTCCAGCATTATAGGGCTTAGGAATAAATTAGAAAAATAAAGAAGTAAAATGTTCAGAAAATCAGTCTTTCTGACCCAGTCCAAGCTGGCATTTCTCCTCAAGGGAGACAGACCTGCACCACACCCACCAGTGTAGGAGTTGCCCCACTTTCGGTGCCATCTTGTTGCCGCTGGGCCCACTTCACTGATGCCACTGAACCCCCCCCCCCCCCCCCCCCCCGACCCAGAGACCCTGGTCCTGCCGCCAGGCCGGGCTGATGCCAGACCATGAGTCCCACTTTGGCAGTGGTGGTTGCCACGCACCGTGATCACCGGGAGAATGTCCTCACTGGCACCATCTCCTATCGCCAGGAGAGGCCACATCTGCCACTCCACGTGTGACCAGCTCTCTCTGCCGTGCAGGTGCTGCTGACCCAATCTGCCGCAGAAGAGAAAAGACCAAAAGAAAAGGAAAATAAAGCGAAGGAAAAGAGCAGAAGCAAAGATAAAACAAAGAAGGAAAGCAGATGGCAAGAGCCCACACATAGCCCTGTCATCTCACTCTGGGACCTGGAGTACTGAAATCAACTCTAGTTCCCTTATTTAAGGAGAGATATCATTTCACTGGAGGCAGTTCAGGGAAAGTTCACTAGGATAATCCCTGGTAAAAGGTTAAACAAGTTGGGATTCTACACACGAGTTCAGAACAATGAGAGGAGATCCCATTGAAACATGGGATTCTGAAGGGGCTTCACAGGGTAAATGCTGAGAAGATGTTTTCCCTCATGGAAGAGTCTAGGACCAGAGGGCATAGCCTCAGTAAAGAAGTGGCAATTTAAGATTGAGATGAGGAGGAATTTCTCCTCTGAGGGTTGTGAGTCTTTGTAACTCCTTGCCACAGAGACCTGTGGTGGCAGCTTGTGTATATTTAAGGCTGAGACAGATAGGGCAGGAAAGAGAATGTGAGGAATGTCAGATGAACCGTAATCCTCTTGAATGGCTTACTCCTGTTGCTATTTCTCCTGGTTTAATGGATGCATTGCTGTAAGTACTGTATGCCCTATTGAACATTGGTGTATTTAGATTCCTGCTTTAAGATGAACTTTAATAGTTAGCAAAGTGAGTTGGTGCTGCACGGTCTGAGTTCTTGATGACCATTATTCTTAGCATGTTCTGAATAGCAGTTTCACAACAACTTAATCACAACACCTCAAGATCTGTGGATGCGCTCATTGGTCAGCATGAACCCTGCTTTGTAATGTCCTGAATTGGAAATTAGGTTCAGCAAGAACTCTATTCCAAATTAATTCAGGACTTTCAGTCAGCATGACATTTCTCTCTCATGGTGTGTAATAACCGCATCTGTGACCTGTTCAACATCAATATTCTCTAATATCACACCACAATGCTGGATTGTGTTTTGTTATGCTAGTGCATGTGCCAAACATTTTACTGATAATTGACAGTCCGGTGCTCCTCCATGCTGCATTGTTATGGTATAAAACCATATTTTGGTCTTGCATTGTCAGTACCTGCAGTTTCTGCACAATCAAATCATGCATTCCCTTCCAACTAATATATGGTGCAAATCAATTAAGCTATGATTAACATACCACAAATGAAATTTGGCATGTCCACAAGGACTCTTAGCAATTTTTATAGATGCACCATATAAAACATCCTATCTAGATGCACCACACTGTGGTATGGCAACTGCTCTGCTCAAGACCACAAGAAACTATAGAGAGTTGTGAGCACAGCCCAGTCTGTCATGCAAAGCAGCCTTCCATCTGTTGACTCTGTCTATATTTCCTGCTGCCTTGGGAAGCAGCCAACATAATCAAAGACCCCTCCCACCAAGGTTATACACTCTTCCACTCTCTTCCATTGGGCAGAAGATATCAGATTTTTGAATGGACCTCTCAAATGTTAATTCTGATCTCTCTCTCTCTCTCTCAGCAGCTGTTACACTGTATTTTGCACTCTGTTCTACTACCCTGATGCACTTTGTACAATATAATCTGCCTGTACAGCACGCAAAACAACACTTTTCACTATCTTGGTACATGTCACAACAGTAAATCCATCAATCAAACCTATTAGTTTGCATAGCCATTTACTTTCCTCAGTTCAAGTGGGAAACTCTGCCATTCAATTAAATCTTAATTTAATATTCTGCTGGGTTGTTCTTCATCTCTTTCATTTCTTGCCCTTTTAAGAGCAATGTGAACTAACATTGCAGGATATGGCTGTGGAATCTGTTCTTCAAGTAGACTGGCCTTTGTGTGCATGTGTGTGCGTGCGTGCGTGTGTGTGTGCATGCTTGTAAATGGAATTTGATCAAAAACTTGTAATAAGCATATATTAGTGATTTTGTTTGTTTTTGTCTGGTAGGCAAAATAAGACTCCTTGCAAGAAACATTCTGCAATGCCATATTGAAATAATAGTTTTGCTGCTTAATTTTAAGTTGTTTAGATTTCTCAACTTTCTTAGCAGATCGATTTGAGTACTGAACATAATGCTGACAATTCAGCTGTGTTTTGCACAGATCGTGAAAATTGTTTGAGACAAGGTGAGAAGGCTGAACTCTGCTTCAAAACTGTCATCATAATTTTCTCCAATGCCCACAAGTGCAGTCAGGGTTCCAATGACAGATCCTGCTCTCTAAAATATATTGTTAAAATATTATTTAAATATGTTGTGCCCCAACACCTGGATTTGAGAGATTCTAACCATTCTGTTGATTAAATGGATTGGCAATTGTTGGAGCATTTAGATATTAGCTTCTGATGCATCGCATAGTTGCCAATCTATTTGATGAATTTCTAATTTCTCCTTTTGATAGAATAATTTAACAGCAGTGTGATATTTGTACACGCTAATATCAGAATGAATTTCATTAATAACATTATTCTTTAAAAACTAAAGATAAACAATTTCTGCCATATTTTATAACAATGGATTTGATAACATTATTTTCTAAAGGGTTCCTGGGGAGTGTTGCTGAACAAAGGGACCTTGGAGTGCAGGTTCATTGTTCTTTGAAAGTGGAGTCACAGGTAGACAGGATAGTGTAGAAGGTGTTTGGCAAGCTTGTCTTTATTGGTCAGTGCATTGAGTATAGGAGATGGAAGGTCATGTTGAGGCAGTACAGGACATTGGTTAGGCTTCTTTTGGAATACTGTGTGCAATTCTGGTCTCCCTGCTTTAGGAAGGATGTTGTGAAACTTGAAAAGATTTACAAGGATGTTGCCAGGGTTGTAAGGTTTGAGCCATAGGGAGAGGCTGAATAGGCTGGGGCTATTTTCCCTGGAGCATCAGAGGCTGAGGGGTGACCTTAGAGGTTTATAAAATCATGACTGATATAGATAAGGTAAATAGACAAGGTCTTTTCCCCGGGTGAAGGAGTCAAATACTAGAGGGCATAACTTTAAGGTGAGAGGGGAAAGATTTAAAAGCAACGTAAGCGGCAACTTTTTTCACTCAGAAGGTGGTGTGTGTTTGGGATGAGCTGCTAGAGGAAATGGTGGAGCCAGGTACAATTGCAGCATTTAAAAAGCATTTGGATGGGTATATGAATAGGAAGGGTTTAGAGGGATGTGGGCCAAATGCTGGCAAATGGGAGTAGATTTATCTAGGATATCTGGTCGGCATGGATGAGTGATGGGCCAAATGGCCTGATTCCACGTTGTAGGGGTTCTATGATTTGATGAACATTTGCACACAGACGGATCAAATAAAAATTTAGTGTTATGGTGGAAGGAATGTTTGGGAAGGTAGTTCACTGAGATGATCCTTTTTGGCTTGTCAGGACTTGCTGCTCCTCCATTCTCTTCTCCAGATACTTTCACTTGTTTATAGGAAGCACGGAATGACAGGGTTACAGCTTAAACAGTCTCTGACTTATTAGTTAAAAGCTACAGATTATAGGAACTGGTGAGGGAAAATGAAACGGACTTTCTTCATGCTTGAGTTGTTTTTTACTGCATAGAAAAGGATGCCACCTTCCCTTTTTGGAGGTTCAAAGGCTTCTGGTTGTCTCGTTCACACCCACAGGTAGCTGCCTGGGAGTCAATCATATCATTACTGGCAGGCAAGAAGGCTTTTGTGCTGAAAACAATGAATTCTGGAGCTCACAGTGGGTCAGACAGCATCCAAGGAAAGAGAACAAGATATCTCTTCATCAGAAGTGATGTGAAGTGTGGAGGGAGCAGCATATATACAATAGTGTGGGCTGAGGTGCTGGGGAAGAAAAAGTGTAAATAGTGCAGATTGAGTGATCAGAAAGTGAGAATGGCAGAACACTGGTGTGTCTAACTGCCAAACACAAAAGAACAGAGTCTCACTGGAGCGAGGGGAGAGGAGAGAGGACATGATGACAAGAATGCAACAAATAAAGCTGAAAGAAAGGGAAGAAATAGGATTGGTTCATAATTTGAAGGTGTTGAACTCAATGTTAAGTCCAGAAGGCTGTAAAGTGCCTTGTCTGAAAATGAGATGTTCCTCCAGTTTTTGCTGTGATACACTGAAACACTGCAGCTTGCTGAGGATAGACACGTGGGCATGTGAGCAGGATGCTGTATTAAAACAACCAGCTAGGTTGGGGTCATGCTTGTACACAGACTGGAGGTGTTCCACAAAACGGTCACCCAGTCTGTGTTTGGTTTCTCCAGTGTAGAGTAGGGCACTGTGGCTGCAGCAAATACAATGCACAGGATTGGAGGATGTACAGGTGAAATGCTACTTCACCTGGAAAGACGGTTTAGGCCTTTGGACGGTGAGCAGGGAGGAGCTGAAGGGGCAGGTCTTGCATCTTCTGCAGTTACATGGGAAGGTGCTGTGGGGAAGGGGGGGGTTGGTGTTGGTCATCATCGAGGAATGGACTAGGGTATCCCGTAAAGAACGATCCCTGTGAAACAGTGAGAGTGAGGGGAAGATGTGTTTGGTGGTGGCATTCTGCCCGAGTTATCCAAAATGGTGGAGAACGATCCTTTGAATGCGGAGGCTGGTGGGATGAAAAGTGAGGACAAGGGGGACCTGATCACACTGCTGAGAGTGATGGGAAGGAGCAGGGGCTGGAGCACGGATGATAGGTCGGATGTGGTTAAGGGCCCTGTCTCCCACCGTGGGTGGGAAACCACGGTCATGGGAGAAGGAAGCCATGGCAGCAGTGCTGTTTCGGAAGGTGGCATCATCCGAACAGATGTGACATAGGCGAAGGAACTGGGAGAATGGGAATGGAATCCTTGCAGGACGTGAGGTGTGAAGGTAGCTATGGTATTCAGTGGCTTTGCACTGGATGGCTGTGGACAGTTTATTCCCCAAAAGAAAGCTTTTGTCATTGTGTTTGGAGTGATGACGTGTCATCAATAAACTGCACTCTCAGTAAATACTTGCTTTTAAAAAGTGCAGCAATCCCTTTCACAGTCCTTTGTTTTCAAACAGTTTTTTTCCCATTTCAGTCCACAATCAAAGACACAGAAAAAGCAAAATATATGTTCTTTACAGCTATTATTTGGAGCCTTAAATAGTGCCTTGGAGTTCAACTTGCACGTGATGCTTTCCTCCCTACTCCTGGCTCTCCCCGGTTTTCCATGATTTAAACTTGTCTGCATTCTCCCTGTGAATGACCTCACTCTCCTCCTTTCTCCAATTTGTTGCTTTTCTTTGTCTGATGTACTGCCGTGCTTTCAGTGTTCTTTGATCTTTTGGAAACTCCAGGTTCACGCTTCCAGATTGTCCGGTATTTTATTTGACCTGTGTTTGCTATTTTGAATTTTGCTGGCCTGAAAATTTGGATAAGTCAAAATGCAGCAGCATCAGCAGGATGAGGAACACAAACAGAAAATTCTGGAGATATTCAGTAGATCTGGCAGCATCTAGGAAGGGGAAGACAGAGTTCCTTTTCATTGGAACTGGAAAAAGATGTCACAGGTTTCAAACAAGTATATAAGCAGGGAAAAGGAGGAAGGAAAAGTAACAATAGGGCAAGTCTGTGGTCGGATAGAAGACTGGAATTATTAAATGACAGAACGGGATGATAGTGCAAGGAAAAATGGAATGGCAAATTACCTTGGGATATTTTGTTACATCAAAGGTGGCACAAAACAATGAGCTGTAAGATAGGCATGGTTGAATATTTTAGAACCACTTACTGTCTAGCTTAATGGATGATAAATGGCCATGTGGACCATGTATTGCAGGGTGTTTAGTCAGAACAATTACAGTATTAAAAATAGAGTGGAATAGGCAAGATAACTAGCTGTGCTTCCTTGAAGTTTTGAAAACATAAAGGCAAACTTAAGTACATCTCAACTTTCTTAGTTTGACATAACTAGAATCTGATTTTGTTTTACTTTTTTTTTAATTAACGATTGTGCTGATGTTCCTCAGGTCATCTTTTTTATTGCGTGTTTATTGACTAACTGTAGAAGACATGGCTGATGTACTTATAGAAGAGGACGAAGAAGAATGCCCCAAGCTGATTCCAATTGAAACAGATTCTAACCTGGGAAGTGTGCGGATCCCAGTAACAATCATTACCGGATATTTAGGCAAGTATGGTTTAGGTAAATCAGAAGATTGAATAAATTGCATTCTTCCATGATTATAGCTCTATCAGAAAACTTGTGATAATCTAAGGAAATTAAAACAAAAATTGAAATATCAGATAACATCAGGAAGGCAACAGCAGTAATCAAGTAAAAGCAAAATACTGTGGATGCTGGAAATTTGAAATAAACACAAATTGCTGGCAAAACTGGCAGCATCTGGGAGAGAAACAGAGTTAATGTTTCAACTCTGGTATGACTCTTCTTCACAGCTGAAAAAGATGTTGGAAATTTTTTAAACTACTTTTCAACTATGGGGGTTGATTCAAGGGGAGAGATGTTGTAGAGACCCAGTGCAAAAAGACAAAGGGGTTGTTAGTGGCGATGAAAAAGAAAGAGGTCTAAATGATGGTATGAAAGGGAGCGACTGGGTCCTCTTTACTAACAACAAAGTAAGCATGACACTCATAGAAACACGGAAGATGGGAGCAAGAGGAGGCTATTCGGCCCTTCAAGCCTGCTCCGTCGTTCTTCACGATCATGGATGATTGTCCAACTCAATAGCCTAATCCTGCTTTCTCCCCATAACCTTTGATCCCATTCACCTCAAGTGCTATATCTAGCCACCTCTTGAATACATTCAATGTTTTGGCATCAACTTCCTTTGGTATTGAATTCCAAAGGCTCACCACTCTCTGGCTGAAGAAATGTCTCCTCATCTCCATCCTAAATGGTCTATCCCGAATCTTCAGACTGTGACCCCTGGTTCTGTACACACACAACATCGGAAACATCCTCCCTGCATCTACCCTGTCCAGTCCTATTAGAATTTTGTAAGTGCCTATGTTATCCCTCATTCATCTGAACTCTAGAGAAAACAATTATAACCTAGTCAATCTCTCCTCATATGTCAGACCCACCATTCCTGGAATCAGCCTGTTAAGTCTTTGCTGCACTCCCTTGAGAGTAAGAGTATCCTTCCTCAGAAAAAGAGACACAAATTGCACAAAATATTCTGGATGTAGACTCACCAAGGCCCTGTATAACTGCATCAACACATTCCTGCTCCTGTACTCGAAGCCTGTCACAATGAAGGCCAACATACCACTTACCTTCTTTACCGCCTGCTGCACCTGCATGCTTACCTTCAGCGACTAGTGCACAAGGACACCCAGGTCCCACTGCACACTCCCCTCTCCCAATTTACAGCCATTCAGGTAGTAATCTGCCTTGTTTTTGCTTCTAAAGTGAATAACCTCACATTTATCCAAATTATACTGCATCTGCCATTGATTGGCTCACTCACCCAACCTGGCCAGATCACGCTGAAGGATCTCTGCATCCTCATCACAGTTCACCCTCCCACCCAACTTGGTATCATCTGTAAACTTGGAGATGTCACATTTTGTTCACTCCTCCAAATCATTCACATGTGATGTGAATAGCTGGGGTCCCAGCACCGATCCCTGTGGCACCTCACTAGTTACTGCCTGCCAATTTGAAAAGGACACATTAATTCCTGCTCTTTATTTCCTCTCTGCCAACCAGTTTCCTATCCATCTCAGTACACTTCCCCCAATATCATGTGCTTTAATCTAGCACAATAAACTCTTAATTGGGACTTCGTCAAATGCTTTATGAAAATCCAAATATGCTACATCGACTGGCTCCCCCTTGTCAACTTGACTAGTTACATCTTTATAATATTCCAACAGATTTGTCAAGCATGATTTCCCCTTCATAAATCCATGCTGACTCTGTCTGATCCTGCCACTGTTTTCTGAATGCTCTGCCATAAAATTCTTGACAATGGATTCGAGAATTTTCTCCACTACTGATGTTAGGCTCACCGGTCTATAATTCCCTGTTTTCTCTCTACCTCCCTTTTTGAATATTGGAGTGACATTAGCCACCCTCCAATCTGCAGCAACTGTTCCAGAGTCTATAGAATCCTGGAAGATGACCACCAATGCATCCATTATTTCTAGGGCTGCTTCCTTAAGTACTCTGGGATGTAGGCCCTGGGGCTTTATCGGCCTTCAATCCCAACAATTTCCCAGTATCATTTCTCTACTAGTATTGATCTCCTTCAGTTCTTCCCTCTCTCTAAATCTTGCATCCTCCAACAAATCAGGTATCTGATTTGTCTCTGTTTTGTGAAGACAGAACCAAAGTATGTATTCAGTTCCTCAGCCACTTCTTTGTCCCCTATTGTACATTCCCCTGTCTTTGTCTGTAGGGGACCTTCATTTGTCATTACCAATAAAACAATAATCAAGTAATGGATACTAGAAACAAAAGCAAAAATTGCGCAAAAACTCAGCAGGTCTGGCTGCATCTGTGGAGAGAAATCAGAGTTAATGTTTCGGATCCCGTTAGTCTTCCTCAGAACTGATGGTAGCTGGGAAAAGGATGTTATTTATACAGAAGAAGAGATGGGGGGGTGGGGGGGGGGGGGAGGAGAATAAGAGGTGGACAGACGAATGGGTCAAGGTAAGTCTGGAAGAATGAATAGCTTTTGATGGAGACTATTAGTCGCTGACAATGGGTTTGTGTGGTAGCAGCCCAAGTGATGTCGAGGCCTTGTGTGTGGGGACTAGGTGAGGACATTGGAGAAGGTGCCTGAAGCCCTAAAATCATTGCACTCCATATGAAGTTCAGAAGGCTGCAGGTTTCCCAAGCAGAAGATGAGATGCTGTTCCTTCAGCTCGCGCTGAGCTTCGCTGGAGCACTGCAGCAAGTCTGAGACAGATGTTGGCCAGGGAACAGGGTGGTGTATTGAAATACTAGATGGATTATAGATATGATTAGGGAGTACTCAGTATGATTGAAAAGAGAAAAGGAACAGCTTTAGCCATTGCTGTTACTATTGCTGGGAATGTATTTTTAAACTAAAGACAAAAGCTATAGCCTTGTTTATGATCTAATAACCAGTTTGACACCCAGTGTCAAACACTTGGAGTTTTATTGAAGTTTAAGTGAACAGATTATGCATCAAGGCTACATAAGACTTTTATACAGAAGAGAATTTCAGCCAGTTGTGCTGAACTGTCTCTCTTTCTTTCTGTTTGTCATCTTTTATAGCATTTGTTGCTGCAGTAATCCATAAATTACAGAATTTAGAATTACAAACCTCTTTGTACGTACATTTGCAATACCTACAAGTTTTCTGACAGCGTTATAATCATGAAAGAATGCAATTTCGACATCATCTTATCCTGAAATTACATTGCCAGCATCAGTGTTCACGGTTAGCAAGTGAGAATGGAGTTTCCACCTTGAAGTGATACAGCAAATTCAAATGTGAACTGACTGATCCAACCACGGGATATTCTCAGCCTCATTTGATCCTACAGTTCTTACTGTAAAACCTAAACAAAATGGATTTGGTACAGAGATACTGTTTTTTCTTTCGTCTGAAAGTTATCAATCTGAATGTTTTAACACCGTACCAAAACTGTTGATGTTCACTATTAAGTGATTCTGTCACACTGAATTATTTTTGACCTGAATGTTCCAGCAGATCCATTCTCTCTCTCTATTGGCAAGAATTCCAGAACAGCTAATAATGAAAATTGAAAAGTGAGCTACATTAGATCAATGCAAGGCTGAGTATAAATGATGATAAAGGTGGAAATTATCAGTGTGTAAAAATCTTCTTCAAGTCTTCTGAATTCAGTCTTGACTAATACACATATTGCTAGCTGTGGTATATAAGATCAAAACAGGAATATTGTAGAACAGAAGAATTTCCCCAGTAAAACATTTTATTTGTTCTTTTACGTGAATATATAATTTATATTTTGGCAGGTTCTGGTAAAACAACTCTTCTGAATTACATTCTAACAGAACAACACAATAAGCGAATTGCAGTCATTCTTAATGAGTTTGGTGAAGGTGAGTGATGTTATGAATATGTGTACAAGATGACATAGGATGGACAGACTTCGGATTGTAGGAGCAGGAGTAGGCCATTCAGCCCCTCGTGCCTGTTCCACCACTCGGTGAGACCTTGGCTGATTTGTAGCGTAACTCCATATACCTGCCTTTGGCCCGTATCCCTTAATACCTTTGCTTAACAAAAATTTGACTGTGTCAGATTTAAAATTAATGGCTGACCCAGTATCTACTGTTATTTGTGGAAGAGAGTTCCAAACCTCTCCCACCCTTTGTGTGTACGCGTGCTTCCTGAAATCTCTGCTGAACAGTCTGGCCCTCTTTCTCAGACTCCGTCCCTAGTTCTCCAATCCCCAACCAGTGGATAATAGGTGGAAAGGACATTTTTACCAGCTATGTTTTTTCTTCTACATTATGCCTGTTAATTGCAAGGATTATTGGTAGTTCAGGTGGATATGGTGAGCAGTGCTCTTTTTGTTACAGTCTTAAGAGGGCTGTTGTGGGAACTGTGGTAGTATCCCTATCCCTGGGCCGGGAGACCCAGGTTCAACACCCACCTGTGTGTTAATAACACCTCTGAGCAGGTTGGTTAGAAGAATAGGTTGATGCAGTCTTAATCGGGAACTAGATGTTTGGAGCGAAAGGAAAATGTTTTCGGATACAGAGATAAATAGTGACCTTTGAAAATCCCTGTGTTCCAAAGTCCCTCAGGTCCTCGATAGAGTAGTGGTGAAGAGTAAAAGATCTCTTTTGTCATTCATTGTTTTAGGTAAATAACTTGTGTTGCCTATGCAGCTTGATCAAAATGCACTTTGTTTTACTAATAAGATGATTCCAAATGATCTGTTGTAGGGAGTGCACTAGAGAAATCACTGGCTGTGAGCCATGCAGGGGAACTTTATGAGGAATGGTTGGAGTTACGGAATGGATGCCTTTGTTGTTCAGTGAAGTAAGACTTTTTTTTTACTTTGTTAAATCTGTAGGATGCACTTCTTAATCTTTACAGGAAAAAAATGACGAGTTCAATTGCTTATTTAAAAATCCTCATTGGGATGTGAGTATTACTGGTAGGGCCAGCATATTACCCATCTCCAATTTCCCCTGAATAGGTGGGGCTGAGCTGCCTTCTTGAACCAGTGCACCAATTCCATGTGGTGTCCGTACTCTCTCCTAAGAGCGCTTAGGAAGAGAATTTATTAAAAATTTATTTATGGGAGGTGGGTATCGCTGGCTAGGCCAGCATTCATTGCCCACCCCTAAATGCCCAGAAAGCAGTTCAGAGTCAACCATATTGCTGTGGGTCTGGAGTCACATGTAGGCCAGACCAGGTAAGGGTGGCATTCTCCTGCCCTAAAGGATATTAGTGAACCAGATGGATTTTGCTGACCATCGACAATGGATTCACAGTCATGGACTGTTGATTACAGATATTTATTGAATTCGGAATCCACCATCTGCTGTAGTAGAATTTCAACCCAGGTCCCCAGAACATTACCTCCTGGGTCTCTAGAGTAATGGCCCAGCAATGGTACTATTAGGCCATCGCCTCCCTTAAGACAACAGGATTAAAAGAGAAGTGCTGGAAATATTTAGCACATGATGCTTCAGAACTCTCAGGAAGGACCATCTCCAACAAGACAAAGTTGAATGATCTGCCCCTGATAGTCAAAGGCATTACCATCGTGGAATCCTCTAGTCTCATCTTTCAGTGCATCATTGTTGATGAGAAGCTGAACTGGATGCATCCCATTTGGATACTAATTAATTAATTAATCTTATTGACTAAAAAGAGTTAATAAGGCACAAGTCCACGTGTGCCACATAAATACTGTGGTTACAAGAGCAGTGCAAGGACTGGATGTTCTGTGTTCTTTGGTGATCTGATGAATGGTCACTGGACTCGAAATGTTAACTCTGTTTCTCTCCACAGATGCTGCCAGACCTGCTGAGTTTCTCCAGCATTTTGTGTTGTTTGGTTTTTTTGTTTGTGTTAGATCTGGTATCCGCACCTCTTAATTTTCTTATTATCTGAGTATTCTGTGACTCCCAAAAGGTTTTCCAGCATTAGGTGTGGAACGGAATATTTGCTGGATGAGTGCAGCTCCAACAAGTCTAAAGAAACTCGACATCATTTGGGAGAAAGCAATCTGCTTGTTTGCCATTCCATCCACCACTTGAAAGTGTCACCCCCTGTACCTTTATCATGTCATAACAGCAGTGTATACCGCCTACAAAATGCAGTTAGTAATTTGTCAAGCCTCTTTTGACAACACCTTACAAATCATAAACCATAAGATATAGAAGCCAAATTAGGCCATACAGCCCATCGAGTCTATTCTGCCATTTGAACATGGCTGATATATTTCTCAACACCATTCTCCTGCCTTCTCCCTGTAACCCTTGATCCCTTACCAATCAAGAGTCTATCTATGTCTGTCTTAAATACACTCAATGACTTGGCCTCCACAGCAATGGCCTCTGTGGCAATGAATTCCACAAATTAACCACCCTTTGGCTGAAGAAAGTCCTTCTCATCTCAGTTGTAAAGATTGTCCTGTCACTCTGAGGTTGTGTCCTTGGGTACTTGTGGAAACATCTTCTCCACATCCATCCTATCCAGGCCTCTCATTTTTCTGTAAAGTTTCATCCCTTCCCCCACCACCTGCTACCACCGCCCCCTCACCCACCCAACATGCCAGCTTTTTTCCTTTTGCGGTTTCTCAACTCTTCCCAAACAGATTCAACCCCTTCTGACTCGATCACTTGTGGTATTCAATTTAATTTCATTTCTTACCAGCAAGGCAGCCCCACCCCTCTGCCCTTCTACCTGTCATCTCGATAAGACATGTATGCTCGGATATTTAGTTCCAAGCCCTGATCTCCTTGCAGCCATCTGTGATACCTACAGCATTGTACCTGCCAATTTCAAACTGCGCTAAAAACTCATTTACCTTGTTTCGTATACTGTATGTGTTTAAGTACAACACCCTCAGTCCTATGTTAACTGCCCCACTTCTCATCGTTATCCTTTCATCTGCGGTGCCTGAAGTTAGATTCCCGACCCTTTCTGTACACTCTGTCCTATTTAATTGTTCAGGAAACGTTAATAACCTCTGCTGAGCCCTACCCCCTTGAACATTTTCCATGCAACTGAACCTACCATTGTGTAGTTTAAAGCCCAATCCACAGCCCTGGTTATGAGAATCCACAGGACTCTGGTGCCAGCATGATTCAGGTGGAGCCCATCCGATTGGAACAGCTCTGTCCTTCCCCAGTACTGGTGCCAATCTCCCATGAATTCAAACCCGTTTATCCCACACCAAACTTTGAGATGCACGTTTACCTCTTTAATCTTGTTGACCTTGTGCCAATTAATTTGTAGCTCAGGAAGTGTTCCAAAGCAACCTTTGTTGCTTTTTAGTTTAACCCCTGACTGCTCATATTCCCTCAACAGAACCTCTTTCCTCTTTCTAACAATATCATTGGTATCTACATGGACCATGACAACTGGATCTTTCCCCTGACACTCCCAAGTTCCTCTGCAGCCCGAATGTGAAATCCTGAACCCAGGCACCAGGCAGGTAGCACAGCCTTCAGGACCCTCGATCCTGGCCACAGAGAACAGTGCCTATTCCCCTGACTATACTGTCCCCAGTTACAAATACATTTCTCTTTTCTGCCCCCCCTTGAATGGCTCCCTGTACCATGGTGCTATGGTCAGTTTGCTCATCCGCCCTACAACCCCCACTCTCATCCACACAGGGAGCAAGAATCTCAAACCTGTTAGACATAGAACATAGAACATAGAACATAGAACATAACAGCGCAGTACAGGCCCTTCGGCCCTCGATG